CCTTCAAAATAGTCATCAACTCATATCAAATTAATAATAGCAGTAACTACCATGCAGAAAAATATAATAAAGTTGCTCATTGCCCATTTAGGGTCTATAGCCAGAGAGATAGCTCATCAACACCCTTAAAAATCAACATTAAACAATTAGTTTTTATTTTTTGGAATATTAAATTAACAACTTAAGAAACCTTGAAAATACATTTTTTTAGGAATTTTGCTTGAAACAACCAATAACAGCGTAAGTAATCAATTTTAAACGGAAAAAAACAACATTAAACAATGAATTTTCTTTGCTAAGAATTTCAAAGCACATCTCAGAAAACTTTAAGAACACGATATTTTTATATGAATTTTACATAGGATTCTATAAATATAAAGTTAATCTAAATATTCAATACAAGAATTTTAGGAAATAGCGATGGATTATTCTGTTGCTATTTTTTCAAAAATCGATTGTTAAATAGCTTTAGTGACGGATTAGAGACAAAATTCAATCTATTGCTAAAGTAGTGGTTGCTATTTTTTAACAATGAAATTTATTGCTCCATCATTATTTAGCAACGGATTTCATTGCTAGTTTGTTGATATGCTGTCACTAAATGGTTCTAAATCAGTCGTCTTCGACATCTCGTATTCGTTACTAACCGTCGCTATTTTCACTTATTACTGTGGCTATTTAAAGATGGATTGTGCGATTGCTATTTTTTAGTTGCTAATATCCTCACAATTCTCGTCACTATTTTTTTAACTCGAGTATCATCCTTTGCTAATTAACATCTCCATTCCGTCACTATTTTCATCATTATTTTTATTTTTTTTAATGAATTATCGTTTGTTGGTAATTATAATAATAATAAAATATAAACAACTCCTTATTAAAACATGTTATATTATTAAATAAAATGAATATATAAATGCATTAAGATGTATAAAAATTTTTAAAAAACAAAAAATTTAGTCATCATTATGACCATCTCTTGCATCATCTTTCGAATGTTGGCCGTCGAGAGGAACGATTGACTACCGAGTTGACGGGAAGAGGTTGGAGGTTCTCGAACAATCCCAAAACTCTCTGCAACTAAGTCTGTATGCTTCCAACTTTTCCGGCATCGTTGTTGAATGGTAGCCTCCATCCCCTTGATCCGATCTTCTTAATGGATAGAAATCTCTTTCATATTACCATTAGGATATCGCAAAATGATAGAGAAAGAGCCGGCATGAGAATATGAGTAACACTAGGACGCATAAGTTCCGATGTTGTACACTCTCCGGTTCTTCTTCCCTTCGACAACATCGAAATAGATCTTAGACATTTCGAGATCTTGAGACAATGCATCACCCTCATGTCTTTCCTTAGCAACTGCTTCTTACATTGATTACACATGCTCATGAGTCATTGAAAAGTAAAAATATTAAATTATAAATATATTTTTTAGATTATATTGGTAGATGCACATATATTTAAAATATATATATAAAAAACTTTATCATTATTATTTGCGACCACCTATCGACAAATGTCTCATCCTTCTACTTGTGAGTGGTCATGAATAGCTCATAAGAATTTGGGTTACGACCTAATTTATGACGCTGAAAAAATAAAAAATAAAATAATATGAGATAAAATAAATAAATTAATTAATTTATAACACAACGAATAATATAGTATTTACTCACTTAGTGTATTGGATCAAAAAGATGGACCCTCCAATATGCTTGAATGGGCCGAGTATCGACACCAAAAGTCTCCGATATGTAGTTTCGATACGCTTGTCGATATCAAGGTTGGTACTTGGGAGTGGCCCAATCCCGATGCCATGCTTTCCACATATCTTGTTTAATAAATACATGTCTATTATCCTTATTCTTCAGCTTGTTGAGCATGTCATGTATCGCCTCCGTGCCAAACTCTCTCACTCATACTTAATCGGTACGTCGATGGTCGCATCCCACAAAAAATACTTCAACATGAAGGCAAAAAATAATATTAGTACTTTTCTTGTTAAATTAATGTTTTAAATAAAATATAAGTAAATAATTAATAGATTATCCTAAACTCATTGAAGTAGAAGTCTTTTGTCTCCATAGAGACAAACTTCCACGTGAAGTCGACAACATCCATTCACTTCTTGAAAATTACGAGTAATTTTTGTATAGCACTTGCTTGATGAAACCAAACTATCAAATAAATAATAAATAAGTGAATTAATGATTTCAATATAATATATGAAAATATAAAATTAATTATCACATGTAAAACATATTACTTATCGATTATTCATAACCTAAATGGTCCGTCCATCATAAGATCTAATAGAACTTCTAGGAGTTGAGGAAATCGTGATGGGATCATCCACTACATGAGGGCACTCGCTATAGGAAATACAAACGTGTCCGCACCACTATCAAGTGTGCGGATCCAGCCAATTAGACCAACAATGCCAATTACACTACCATTATCAATCACACGGCCAACATTAGAGTCACGATCAACGACATCGTAACCAAATCTTCCTAATCAACGAGGCATGACCGAAGAATAACACCGAAACAATTTAAAAAATAAATAACAATTCGATCCAAAATATATTATAAATTATTATGAATTAAAACAAATAAAATTTAACACATCTAAAATGCACAACAAACATAAAAAAAAATGCACAATAGACAAAACGATATAATTTAGTAAATTCAATAAATAAAATTGATCTTTAATTACAACGTTAAAATCTCTTTATTCACTCGCATTTAACATGTCATAAAAAGCTCAAGTGTTGGGATTTGGTATCTCATCCGTACTAGATCGATTAAATGATGGACCAATTGCATCAATCACCATTATTTCATATGGGTTAGAGGGTTAACTACAACTCCTTTTGCCTTCATGAAAATTTTATCGACACAACATAACTCTTCGAGGCAACTTTCTCTTGTTGTATCCAATCATAATATCCAGATCACAAAAGCATATCTCACTAAATAGTATTTAACCATGTGAACTCTTCAAAATTTCGATTCCAACACATACGATGATTGCAAGGACACCTACTTTTTACTCGTCTATACATTCAAAATGATTAACGACGAAATGCACTAAAATTTTCAACCTCATTCAAAAAATCATCTTTTAAATATCCGTCTATGCACCTAGCATACATCCATTTATGATCGGACCTCATTATTTTGTTTTTGTATTTTCGAGGCAATACAAAATTATTGAATTAATAATTTTTCTAAACATCTAATAAAATTTTGGTAAAGCCTCCCTTGTAAATTATGCCTTTTTTAATTAATAAATACTTCAAATCATCACACAAACATTAAGCACAGTGAGATTAACAATTGTCTCGGATACTCCATCAAAATTAAATCACAAATTCTTCCTCCTCGCTCTATCATAGAGCATTGAACCAACTTTACTTCTCCTCAATTCCTGGAGGTTTCTAACCCTTCAAGCTCGATACACAATGACGTATCTCGACATACTTCAATAATTATATATAAATAATTAAACTAATTAATTCTAATTCTAACTTAATTAAATTTAAAATAATAATAAATTAACAAGTATTATTATAAATAAAGTTATAATTCTACCAATTAAACATAATTATCCTAATTAATTAATTAACTAAACATAAATCAAATTAACTAAATTAACTATAATTCCAACTAAATTAAATTCAAAATAACAATTAAATTAACTTAATTAATAAAAAATTTACATATAATTAAGAAAATTACAATTAATTGAAAATTTTATTCTAATCCAACCATTTAAACAAATTTTACATAATTAATTAATTAACTAAACAAAATTCAAATTAACTTCATAAATTCTAATTCTAACCAAATTAAATTTAAAATAAAAATTAAATTAACTTAATTAGGAAAAATTTAACATTAATTAATCCAACCATTTTTCCACATTTAACGACGTGACATTTATGTCCATTGCTAATCCATCTCAATTTGTCGATATCCATCATAACACTTACGGTCTTTGTCTTCCAAAAGTTTAGCCTCAATTTTTTCCAAAATTCTCACATTTAGCGACAAATTTTTCTGTTACTAAATTACAAAGAAATTGTCTAAAATACCCAAAAAGATTATAGCATCAAATTTAACGATGAATTTATTTTCGTCATTAAATTCAATAGTCGCTATTCTGTCACTATTTTCTTATTTATTTAGAGATGGAGTTAATTCCATTGCTAAATTCAGTATCTATTTAGCAAATTTCTTGTAATGATTTTATATGTTAAATACATTTTTTATTGAATCGTTAAATATATTTTTGTTTAAAAATTTTTAAAATCAAGATCTGAGGTTCACGTACCGCCTATTTAGCTTCTATGCGTCTTCAATTTACCTTCAAACAATTACCCAAATCTTTAACCAACCAGAGCAAAGAAGAAAATAAGCTTTTTTTTTCAAACAAAAAAAAAAGAGAGAGAGATTTAGTTGAATAATTGAAGAATTTTTAAACTTTCTCTCTCTTTGGAGAGAGAGAAAAAAAAAAAACACACGTAGAGATGAGAGAAAAAGAGTTGGGTGGAGTCTATATATATATATATTATTTTAGTCTTTTTATATTTTACGGGTTTGGAAATTCATTGTCTAATATATAAAGCTTAAAATATAATATATAAAAAATGAGAGTGAAAAATATTTTCGCACTCAAACTACGGAATGTTTAAAGTAATTTACACTTGTTTTAACAACAAATGCATCTGATATGAAAAAAAATTCTTCTTGTAACTCAAAATTAATTAAGACTCGAGAAAGAATCTTTCTGAGAGGAGAACAAGGGGCGTAATTTTTTATTCTCTTCATCAGTGACGTTTAAGCAGATTTAAATAAGGCGAAGAAAAATATACACAAAACTATTATGGCATTTACATGAAACAGACTACGTATTAGATAACTTAATTAATTAAGTAATTATTTGATTGCTTAATTACTGAATTAATTAGTTGTATAAAAAATATTCAGCGAGATGGCTGTGTCCACGTAAAGCCTGGTATTGGGGGCAGTAAACAAAGTGCTAAAGAAAGTGGCGCAATTAAGTTGGTAAGAAACAGAAACAGGACATAATATCGGCATAGTTCGGTGGGGAATGTTAAAGTAAGTTCTACCGTTCCAATCAAAGCAGGTTTTCTTGATTTAGGTGAATGCATGACAACATTCTGTCCACACACAGCTTTTTAGCTGACTCTATCATATCGCTACTATCCAACAAACCTACCTTCAAATCTTAAAATAATTGTCCATTTTATTAATTATAGTCTCTTCTCACACTGATCATTGCCTGTACATGTTTCCTAGTATTTTGTCACTTCATTGAAGTAGTAATTATAATAATTAAACAACAAATTTCAGATTCCAAACCGCCTTTTTTTTAGTATCTAACTAATTGGGAGTAAATATTATATCTTTAATACTTAGGATTCTACCATATACAGAAAGTAATATACTCTTAATATACTTTTACCTGTAATCACAATTTTTTTAATAATATAATTTTATAAAAGGACACGTAATCCACATACTTGTAAACCTTCGTATAACTCATAAATGTGAAGTTCTTTTAATGATGGGAGTTTGCCACTCAAAGGAAATCGAAGCCAACTGGTATTTTTTCAATGTAATGAAGGGTTATATAATTATTTTTCAAGGAAAAAAAACTGAAAATTGCGTTGACAATGCGGCGATTGAACGAAAATGATGAAAAGAGAAATTGTTCGCGTGGATGATGAGCTTCTCTTTTATTAATTAATAATTACCTAATTGTAAGTCATATTAGTTGAACTCTATTTCTATATATATTATATTATGTATTTATATCCTTTCAACTATCGCAATAATTTTATTTTATTTATTTATTTATTGAGATTGAGGATTGCACCAAGTTAATAATTGACTAAAAATAGGTAAACGGTAATGTTAAATAATAAAATGTTAACCGTAAGACTAGATTATAATTACACGGCTGATCATTTTATTAATTAGGTGATAACATTAGAAGAGCTTATCCATTTTTTTTTTTTTTGGTTAATTGGAAGTACAGCCCCCATATGTCAGATTAAATCTCCTTGAAATAGCTGTCTCCTCTCTCTCTCTCTATATATATATGAATCTAATGTAATCACGACCCTTTGGATAATTACTAAATGTAATAATCATAAATCACTAAATTCATAACTTTTTTGGTGCCAAATTAATCTATAATCTGAACCACAAATTCATGAGCATCCTCATATATATATACGAGAAAGTAGATCACATGCATACTATATAAATGGAGTTTCACGTTAGGCCAATGGTTTGGTTTCCCCTTTCCTGCAAATTTATTTTTGCGTGATGTTGATGACTGTATAATATTCTGTTGTTATAGGCTGTGTTTGTTTGAGGAAAAATAAATTTCAGAAACTTATTTTTCTTATTTTTTAGTATTTATTTTATATTTAGAAAAAAAAGCAAGGAAAAATGATTTTCAGTCAACAAAAAATGATAAATTATTTCTGAAAAAATGTTTTTCTAGTTTCAAAAGAGGAAAATATTTTCCTTTTCACGAGTCGTCTTGCTCTCGTATTACTTACCTCTCTCTCGGATATATTTTAATAATTTTTTTCTCCATTTTCTTTTTATCTAAAATATATCAGATTAATTTTTGATTATTCATTATCAATTATTATTAATTATTTTCTCTATTTTTACTAATATTTGATTTTTTAATACATTAAATATTCTTAAAAATCATTTTTCACCTTAAAATTATTTTTATAATAAATATTTCAATAATTTATCTCTTTTTTTTTACTATTATCTCAAACACCACCTAAACTATACTTATATGATTGGAAATGATTCTTACAAGACTATAATTTTTTGTAAAAAAAATTAAAATTAATTAATTCATCAATAAATACATTATTTTTTCAACACTATTCATTTGCAATCAAATCAATAATTTATAATTTTAATCAACTCGTAAAATTTTATTAGTAATTGTAGTGAATAATTAGTTATAAATTATTCCAACATTAATCTTTTGAGACCATATGAATAATTATCTATAAATGATAACTAATAATTTATAAAACTATTTTTCAAACTAAATTATCAATTTAATTTTCAAAAAAAAAAAAAATTCTTAATTGAGTTATCAAAATAACAATGCTAGGATTACTTAGAATCTTTTTTTTTTTTTTTTTTTTTTTTTTTTTACTAAATGTGAATATTGACTTGATTTTATCTTAAGTAATTTTGGTGAATTGGTTTGATGATTAAAAAAGTATATTTTATTTTTTGAATTAAAATTTAAGAGTTAGTATTTATGAAAATTTATTAAATTTTTCTAAATGTATCTTATATTGTGAAATTATGAATATGTCTTTTTAAAGTTTTCTCAAAACTTGTTGATATAACAATCACATATGTTTTTGTATTTTAATTTTCTGTATCAAATAAATACTGGAATATATTTTTCAATAGTTTTTTCATGTAATTACCAAATGATTGAAAATATATTTTTAAAAAATAATTTCTTGAAAAATAGCTTCCTCAATAATTAATTTTTCTATGGAATTTGTTTTCCCTCGAACCAAACACAGCCATAGCCATCCAGTGATTTCCAACGGCGAGCATATTATAACACATTCCTTTCTTTTCTTTCCTTTCTCTATATAAATGTATATAGACCAAACTCACTGATCATTTCTCTAAAACCCACAAACCTAAAAGCTGTCAATTCTCTTACTCTCTCCCAATCCCTCCTCTCTGACACCCCATGACTAATCTTCAAGCTTGCTCTTTCAACATCTTTAAGCTGTCATCTCTTTTGATTGTGCTTTATTACCCTACTATAGCCTCCTGTAAGTGTACCTGTGAGGCTGAAGATTTAGAACATAATAAAGGTGAAGCACTGAAGTACAAACTAGGTTCAATAGTCTCAATTCTTCTTACTGGTGCTGTTGGTGTTAGCCTCCCTTTCTTGGGCAAGAAAATAAAAGCCTTAAGCCCTGAAAATGATATTTTCTTCATGATCAAGGCATTTGCAGCTGGTGTTATCCTAGCAACCGGATTCATTCACATACTCCCGGATGCATTTGATAGCTTAACATCACCATGCCTTGGCCAAAGTCCATGGGGGAACTTTCCATTCGCAGGTTTTGTTGCCATGATGACTGCAATAGGGACATTGATGATGGATTCTTTCGCCACAGGGTTTTATAAGAGGATGCATTTTAAAAAGAGCAAACCGGTAGACACCACGGATGAAGAGATAGCTGAAGAACATGACGGTCATGTACATGTTCATACACATGCTACACATGGTCATGCCCATGGCTCTGCCTCCCCAATGGAAGATTTGGCTCTGTCTGAATTGATTCGTCGGAGAATCATATCACAGGTAAGATCAATCTCATCTCATCATAATCTAATTTTTTCTTGGCAATTTTTGGATGATGAACCAACAGAACCTATGTTCTGTGCTTGGATGAATGTTGTTCCAGGTATTGGAGTTGGGGATTGTAGTTCATTCAGTAATTATTGGAATATCTCTAGGTGCTTCTGAGAGTCCAGAAACAATAAAGCCCCTCATGGCAGCCTTGTCTTTCCACCAGTTTTTTGAAGGCATGGGACTCGGTGGCTGCATCACACAGGTGCATAACTTATCACAAATAACCTAAGATGATTTTTTTATTTTATTTGGGAAAACTTTTGTTTGTAATTATTGCTTTCTGTCAAGCAGTAGGATTTTATGCAGAAGTCTTAAATGCCTTTGCATAGTTTGTTCAACTGGGTTGGAGATGTCGACACAATGACAACATCTTTCTTTTATGTGACTTTTTCACACTTTTGACTATGTTAATCCCTCATCCTCATGCCTATTGGTCAACTCCTTGTCTAATTTTTTCTAACAAAATTGATTTAAATAGTCATCTACCCTTGTACCTAGATACTGTACATCATTGTGATAGGTTTATCATGCATACAGATGTCCATATACACAAAATTGCCTCACATGCGAATGATTACGAGAAACATGCATTTTTATTTGTTAATTTTATAACTTGCCAGAATTTGTTTTTAGTTGTGTCTGTTTTTAAAACCCTGATGGATTTTTGGTGGTATGCATAGGCACAATTCAAATCTACATCTATGGCGATAATGGCAACGTTTTTCTCCTTAACAACCCCAGTGGGGATTGCCATTGGTATTGGAATTTCAAACATTTACGATGAGAATAGCCCAACTGCTCTAATAGTTGAGGGCATTTTCAATGCAGCCTCAGCGGGGATTTTAATATACATGGCTCTTGTTGATCTCTTAGCAGCAGATTTCATGAGTCCAAGGATGCAAAGCAATCTCAGGATTCAATTAGGAGCAAATGTTTCACTTCTGCTAGGGGCTGGTTGTATGTCTTTCTTAGCCAAATGGACTTGAGATTTTCAAAACTATATAATCACAAGCCTTTTTTTTTTCTAACTCCTCTTTCCCTCGTTTTGTTGATTTTTCTTTAATTTAGAAGTAGCGAAAATCAATTATCCACTGTTTTCATGTTTTAGGCACTGTTTTTTTAAGTTGAGTAAACAAGCAAAGATACTCGGCTAAATGCGAGATAGCTTGGTGTATTTTAAAATTTCCATTTCTGAGAAAGCAAGTCATAAACAACAATACCGCATCTCAATTCTCCACCCTCAACATCCCAAGTGGAGGAGTGTGGAATCAAGCTTTGGAGGTCAAAAATTTTTGAGAACCCTGCATGACAGCGTTTTGCTTTCCCTTTATCTTACTTAAAGAAAAAGAAGAGAACCTTTCTTTAAAGACGTTTTATATTATTTGAGGTTGAAATGCCAAAAGTGATGCAATATATATGGTGGATGGTGCTCTGCTCTAGGCTTGTAGCCACTCAAAAAGAGCGGTTCTGTTTCAAAAATCCAGTTGAAACAATCCCCTACAGAGATAGAAAGGACAATTTTAAGAAATTATTCAACCTTTTTTGGGTGGGTGTTAGCACCCAAATTTTTCCCAAAAATACAAAAAAAGAAAAAGAAAAAGAAAAGGGACTAAAAAATACAATCGAGGGATGTAATTGAAACAAAAGAGACAAAGATCAAAATAAAACAATATTGCTAGTAGAGGGATCAAACTGAATTTTAGCCAAAAAAACTAAAACCATGGTATAAATACTCTTATTTTTCTCCCAACCATCCCGCTACTTTCTCTCTCTAAAACCAGCAGCCACACACCATCTCTCTCTAAAAAATCTTTCCTGCCAACCTCTCCTCACGTCCGGTCAGCCTCACAGGTCGGCTCAACCACTCCACCCGCTCCAAACCAAACCAACACATTCCCACAACTCCGATCAGCACGTCCAGCACCCCGAACTCCGATCCGATCATCCACACGCCGTGATAGCCACCCTAGTAGTGTCCCAGCGTCTCCAGCAGTCTTCCTTCTGCCAGCGTCGCCGTTCGATCACTAGATCCAATCCTGCAGTTGTCTGTCCCCTTCAGCAGTCGTGTCGTTAAGCTCCGATCTGGTTCCTCGCCATTAAGCTCCATCGATCGTTGCCATCACTCGTGTGCGCCCCTCCACCGTACCAGCCTCATTCGATAGCACGGCTAACACCATCGAACGGCGATCTAGCAACCCCGTGTCTGCACTGATCAGGCTAAAACCCCCTTTCGTCCAGATCTGGCCGACCAGCTCGACTCCCTCCACCTGAAGCAACAGTCCGCTCAGCACTGGTCAGCCGCCTCTCCACGCTTTTTAGCCAGATCCAGTCACTAACAACCGACCTTTCTACTGGTCGATTGAATATCAGTCTCCATCGAAATTGAAAAGAGTCAGAATGGATCTCAATTCAACTGTTTAATTTATCTCTTATTTATAATAATTTATTTTATCTTTCATTTTATTTTATTTTAATATATATTAAATTAGATTTGTTTTAACGGGTGCTTGTAATTAATTAAACTATTGTGTTATGTAATTAATTTAATTTGTTACTTATATATGATTTAATTGACTTATTGTGATGTGTGTGTTTTTAATTAAGTCGTTGTTGGGTTTGTGATGGTTGACCAATGTTTATGCTTGAATGTGTTTGGATGTTTATTATTGTTTTGTACATTTTTCTAAAACGTGTTGGTCCGAATCTTAGTTTTGGACTGTTTTTGGTTAATCGTGATGATTAATTGAATTGTGTCAATCTATCTTAAAAATGTTATTTTTGCATTGCATCAGTTCAACTCATGTTTTTGGACCATTTTGCTCATAATAACATTAAATTACTCTCTTGTTAATTTTATTTAAAAAAGGCATAATGTTGGATCATGGCGACTCAAATCTTGTTGTTTGAGTATTTTTGTCAAATAATATCTAATTTCGACATTGTTGTCAATTCACCTAAAAAAATAACTTTTGAGTCGCATTAGTTTGAATCCCATTTTGGGTTATTTTTGCCAATTGTATTGATTAATTTATATTGTGTCAATTTTTTAACTAAAAATATGATTCTTAAGTTATGTTGGTTTGAATCTTGTTTTTGGATCGTTGTTGCGATTTGTGACGATTTATTTGATATTGTGTTAATTTTGTCAAAAAAACATGATGGTTGAGTTGTGTCAATTCGAATCTTGTTTTTTATTTCAATTTTAATGATTTGTTGATGTTACTTGAAAATCACAACTTTTGAAGTCCTGTCGATCTTAATCTTGTTTTTAGATTGTTTTCGTCAACTTTAATGATTTTTGTCAATTTGTTGATTTTTGTCGATTTGTCCATTTTTCTTATTTTTCCTAATTGCCAATTTTTTCAATTTATCGATTTTTGTCAATTTGTCAATTTTTCCTAATTATCAATTTTGCCAATTTGTTCATTTTGCTTATTTTATCTAATTGCCAATTTGCTGATTTTTGCCAATTTATCCATTTTACCTATTTTGTCCAATTTTGTCGATTTTGTCCGTTTGTCAATTTTTGTCGATTTTCCCTAATTGTTGATTTTGCCTAATTATCAATTTCGCCAATTTACCGATTTTGCCTATTTATTGATTTTGCTTATTTATCGATTTTGTCAAATTGCCAACTTTGTTAATTTTGCCATTATTTGTCCGTTTGCCCATTTTTTACCATTTTTTCCAAATTGCCTATTTGTCGATTTTTTCAATTTATCAATTTTGTCTATTTTGTCGATTTTACCATTATTTGCATATTCGTACATTTTTGCCGATTTTGCTTATTTTTGCCTAATTGCCTAATTGTCAATGTTATTTATTTGCCAATCTTGCCTATTTTGTCGTTATTTACTCATTTTTGCCTGTTTGCCTTTTTCGCCAATTTTTCTATTTTGTTTTTGCTACTTTGCTTATCTTAAGCCTCATTTTTATGCACGTCATTTAAATCTTATTAGCCACACATCATTGTATTTTATCATGTCTTTTATTTCTTAGCTAGTCAATATATAGTGAGGATAAGGTCTCCGACCGACGAAGTCCCAAATCACTTTACTAATGGGCAATTGTTCAAAAAAAAGCATAGTCTTTCATCATTAAAAAATTAAAAATTGAATTAATGTTGTATGTAATGCAACTTCCTTAGGCGAGATAGGGTAAGATGATTTTTAATCATCCCTACAAGTAATAAACCCTTTATCTACAACTCTAAACAGATCATTCATAAGTTTTCCTAGTAACCATAATACTAGGTGGCCACTCTAATTATTTTTGTTCATTTTCTTTATTTTTGCCTAAATTCATAGCCCTCGCCACTAACGTCGCCCTGCGACAGTGGGAATTAGGTAATGGGAAATGTTGACTTCATTTTATGATCACCAAACTAAATAATAAAAAAGTTATACTTTTTGTTATAAAATAAATTATAACAATAATAGAATTGGAGAAAAATGTGATAGAAGAATAAATTTAACTATGAAATAAATGAACGTAAGAAATAATAACTCTAGACAATTCTCTCAATCTCTACAAAAATACTTCTCCACGAACTAATGAACAATTAACTTCAAGATTAGGAAGAGAATTAGAAGAGACTATGAACCATTAAAACGTGCATAAATAATTAAATCAATTGCATTATCATTTCAATTGCTCATATTGAATGGTGAATTGAATCACATGAATAGTGAAAATATAAAATGGTTATGGACATTCATTATTTCATAACACTCCCCTTAAATGTCAATCATATAAGAAATATGTATCCTTAAAACCTTACTAGAGAAAAACCCTAGTTAAAAAAAAAATTACAATATTCCTTGTACAAATTGATCTCTAAGTCGGGCTCCCTTATTAAAAACATCATTTAAGATCTTTAAGACGACATACTTTAGTCTTGCATATCATTTTCTCAAAAATTATTGTAGGTAATGCTTTAGCGAATAAGTAAGTCAAATTGTTACGTTGATGTATTCTTCTTTAATTGAATTATTCAAGTAGTATTATCTTCATATGATATTGTTGAAACTTCTTTCGTCGATAGATAAATCGCATATCTCTCGGATACGATGGATCATTGATCTTAGTCAAACATATTCTTAACTTGCCTTATGAATTAGTATTTCTTCATGGTTTGAATATATAGCAACTATATTTTACTTCATAGAACTTCATGATATAACCGTATCACCATGTGTATATACATAAGTCATTTGTAATCAAGTTTTGTATGGATTAGATAAATAAACTATATATGCATAACCAATTAATCTTGTCTTTGATTTATTTTACTTCAATAAATCAATTTTATTAGCAAGTTAGTATATGTTTAATTATATTTCAATGTCTCCATATTGAAACGGAATTATATCTTGCTAATAAATTTACAAATAATGTCATATCAAGTCGATTTTATTAGCAAGTTATATTCACCAATGACACTAAAATATGGTACTTAGGACCAAATAGTTCTTCGTTATCTTCTTGAAGCTAAAAAATGTCTTTTTTGGATATCAAGTGAACGAACTATCATCGAGTTAGTCAATGGATGAGTTTTATGTATAGTCACTATAGAACTTTTTCCGTATAAATTAACCGATGATAAAATTCATTCTCTAAGTGCTCGAACTACAAGTCGAGATAAATTATTTTTCCTAAGGTATTCATATCAAATTCTCTTTTCAAATTACTTATGGTACTTGGAATCTTTTTAGAAGTTTCAATAATATTTAAGTCAATATATACAATAATTATCACAAATCTCTTTTCGAATTTTTTCATAAAAATACATGAACAAATAGGATTATTTTTTATAACTTTTTTTAATAAATATTCATTGAAGTGACTATACTATATGCACACAGAGTTAGTAATAAAGAGTAAATATTAAAAATAAAAAATAAATATAAAAAATATAGCATAAATTGAAATTCTAAAAAGTAAAATAATAAAATAAATACTAAATTAATCTTGATAGAGGTCTTTA